GGGGGGGGAACCATGGGGGAGGCCCCACCTGAGCCCAACTCCTCGTTCATTCCTGAGCCCCCCGTTCATTCCCTCTGCCTCTTCCCCACACTCACCGGCACTAGTAGCAGCCTCTAAGGCTTGAGATGATCAGGGGAATGAGCAGGAGGCTGGAGACAGCAGAAGTCTCCAGCTTATCTCCAGGGGCTCGTCTCCAGCCTCCTGCTCATCTCCAGCCTCCCAAGCCTGGAGACAAGCAGGAGAACGAGAATGAAACTGGAGATGAGCAGGGGAAGGAGCAGGAGGCGGAAGACGAGCCTGTGAAGATGAGCTGGAGACTTCCCCTGTGGTCTCCAGCCTTCCAGTCATTCTCCTGCTCATCTCCAGCCTCCCAAGGCTGGAGATGAGCAGGGGCTGGAGACCAACAGGGGGACTGTGGGGGGAAGGCTATCCCTTGCAGAGGAGCTGGGACCCTGCACGCGGGGTAGTCCATGTGCTCTGTGTGTGTGTGTGGCGGGGGTTCTGCCCTGCGGGGGGCAGGGAACCCACCCCTCCTAAGTAGACACTACACCCACAGTCCCCCTACACTGACCCACAAACCCCCACCTCCCTCCACACCCACCCACATCCCCCACAACCACTATGTGATAAGGAAACCAAAAGCAAACATAAAATAAATCCTAAATATCCATATGTTTTAATTATGATGCTAGAGACACTGGTAGGCTTCCAAATTGCTTTAACATTGTAGATATAGCAATAAAACATTGCCCATCTGATCAATCCCTGCCCCGCCCCCTCTCTCTTTTGTTCTAATTGTGGAAGACTGTGGATTTTGGGGTATTTTAAAAAGTGGATTTGGGATCGTGCTTCAGCAGTCTAGCTGACACAAGGGGCTAGTGTCCCCATATACCAAGTGATTGGGCCTCAGAAGCTCCTGAGGGCAAGTAGTCCCGAGCTGCTGGCCAGGGAAGGTTTTTATATTGCTGGGGCCAGCACAAGTAGCCCCAGGCTCTAGCTCCCCCTAGGTGCAGATCCGGGAGAAGCCAGGCAGGGTTATTTTGCCCCAAGTGCCACAATTTGCTCCACAACAAAGTGCATATGACACAGGCTTTCTGCCTGTGCAGTGAGGCAGAAAGCCCCAGCTCAAATTTGCACCACTTCTATTTGAGCTGCTGCAAGCGCACGTGCTTGCATGTGGTGGCGCACCCATTGATTTTACTAGGGCTGCTCCTAGTTGTACAGTTAAGCAAGAACATGCTTGTTTGCCAGATCAGAAACCAAAGATTTCCAGGATTGGACCCTTATGCAAGTAATTACTCATGAGCAGGGATCCTGGTATAGATTCGTGTTGTTTCATTTACATCAAGGAAAAGTGTGGGTTTGGGGTTACTTTTTTTTTTTT